CCCCCCCACCAGGGGGATGAATAACAGACAGACGGGTGAAGGGAGACAAATGACAGTGTAGGACAAGAAATAACAGTAAGAATATAAAATTGATCATGGTTTCATGAAGGTGGGAGACGGAGAGGAAAACAGGAGCTGATACCAAGGGCTCAAATAGAAAATGTTTTGGAAATATTAATGGCAACATATGTACAAATGTGTTTGATACAATTGATATATGGATTGTTCTAAGATTTAAGAGCCCCTCAATAAAATAATTAAAAAAAAAAAAGAGATACAAAGATATACTACACAGGACAAATGTGCAGCACAAGACAAGACCTCTTTAAAGTGAAGAGGATCAAGGATGTTGCTCTGAAGACTAAGGTGTGCCTGAACCAAGCCATGGGGTTTTCAATCGCGTCATATGCATGTGAAAGTTGGACACTGAATAAGACCAAAGAATTAATGAATTTGAATTATGGTCCCAGCAAAAAAATACTATTAAGTACCATGGACTGCCAGAAAAAGAAATGTGTTTGTCTTAGAAGTACAGCCAGAATGCTTCTTAGAAATGAGGCTGGTGAGACTTCATCTCATGTACTTTGGGACCAGTTGAGAGACCAGTCCCTGGAAAAGGGCACCACGCTTGGTAGAAAGGTCAATGAAAAAGAGGTAGAGTCTTGGCAAGATGGTTCAACACAGTGGCTGCAACAAGGGGCTCAAACACAGGAAGAGTTGTGAGGAAGGCGCAGGACCAGGTGGTGTTTCGCTGCTGTGCACAGGGTGGTTATGATTCAGAACTGACTTGATAGCTCCTAACGGCAACAGTATGGCACATATCCCAATGAGGGAATGAGGGGGGACACCACTCTAACCCATAACTTGACTCTACAGCAAAATATGTAGTCAGTGAAGATTATAGTAGCCTTTATGCCAAGCTTTTCAAAAACAATTCAAAAACCTTTTTGGATTTTAGAATTTAAATAAATTAGGGATCATCACCTTATATTCTTTGATTCCATTAACCCACTCACTGCCATTGGGCCAGCTCCGGCTTGTATTGACTCTACATAGTTTCTAGGGCTGTAAATCTTTACAGGAGCAGATGGGCTCACTCTACTGCTGCAGAGTGGTGGGTGGGTTTAAACCGCTGACCTTGCAGTTAGCAGTCTAACTCTTACCTGACAGTGCTTACCAGGGATCCGAAATAAAGGCGACCATCCCGCACTGCCAAGTACAATTGGCTTTCTTTCAAAGTGTCCTTCAAATCTTCTCTCCAAGCGCAAGGCCATGACCCTGGTTTAGTGTCTCGTCATTCATCTGAGTTTTTTTTTAATAAGTTATGACATTTGGCAGCACTGTACTATGATTACACACACACACAATTGTGATTATAATTTTTTCCCTCTTGGCTTTGCCACGTTTTCTTGGTCTCCTTTCCTGAAGCTGTGATCCTTAGTTTTGATCCGTGATTCTTAACAATTAGGAGTGCTAGTGACAGGGTAACTGCCAACCTACCTATCTTAGGAACTACCCATACTACAAGAATTTTACAAATCTGTGTTGCAGAAACAGGCAATTGACATCTGTTCAATCTCTCTGCTTTTCCTTATTTTTTTGGGGGGGAGGGGAGAGCACAGTGGTGGTGGTGGTGGTGGTGGTGAGGGTAGCCTTTTCACATTATAATGATCAAAGAGTTCAGAAAATACTTTATAGGCAGATCAGTGCAGGATAAGCTGAAAGAGCAACCCATCATAACACAGAACTGCACGATCTGATTTGATGCTGACGTTTGAGTATCACTATCTGGTATGTGAGTGTAATGGAGTAAGTTCACCTTGCCATTTGGCTCGTGCAAAATGAAAAGCTCAGGCAGACTTGCCAATAAGAACTTCGGAATTGAATGTCTCCAGGTAGGTTTAAGACAGCAATACTAGATCACCAAGTCTCTCCAGTTCTTAAATGTGCATCTGTCAGTGGAGGCTGGTTATGTCAGAATTACCTGGGAAACCATAAAGACTTGTATCCAGCAGAACCAGGGTGGGCTCTAGGAATCTACTTTTTAAAAAAGTTTCTTAGTTCCCCAGCCAGAAAAATTAAGAGCTCCTGGTCACACTAATCATAGCTGGGTAACTTGCTTGCCAGCATTTTTATTACATAATAGATGCTGCTTTCACTTGCTCTTTCTTAATTTGTTTAAGTCTTTAAGTACTGGTGCTTTAGGGTGGTAATGACTTTTCCTATTTCACTAGGCCTCGGGAGGAGACAAAGCAGAACTCAGCAGGTGTTTTCTGAAAGAAAGGTTTGTTCTTGGCTAGAGGTCTCTTCACAGTTGCAGTGCTATCTTTATAAAGCTTCTTCAGGCCCCAGGGGTTATCGTGACCGCAACTTTTAGATTGTCTCATGTCTTCTGAAGGAAATGGCTGGCATGTAACTTGTAGAAGCAAGGCCACTATATCAAGTAGAAGAATTATTATTCTTAGAGTCACAAAGTCAGAGTAAAAGATCCATGCGAGAGAATTGTAAACTTGTTTCAAGGACAAATGGAAGGAGGGTGGGGGAGGAGATAACCTCTTGTGTAGGATCTGAGCTACTCTTGCAGCTGTTACCCTGAGAGAATTCTTGCTTACTATTTATAAACTAGAACATGAGATAAAGGCCTAAGATGAAAAAATGTTCTAACACAACGAAAAATAAATTAGTCCACTGAATAAAATAAAATTTTTTTATTTTCTTAAAGCAGGATAAATCTACCATAATAAAAAGATAAAAATGCAGGAACAAAGAATATTGGAATTCTAAGTCAGTAAAGTGATAATCAAAGTACTAAATGAAGCCATGAGAGACTAAAATGTAAGGACTAACAGTAAAAGATGAGAAGCTGAAACAAACAAAAAACCTCAAGTGTCCGCTTAAAAGAGTAACTAGAAAAACTGAGTCAAGAAAGATTTTTAAAAAGCATGCCACAAAATAAAACCAGAAATTAAAATGTTAAAAGTCACAAGCTATGCAAAGACAATGCAAAAACATCACTCCCAAATATAATTTAAGACGGGCCGCTAACCTCAAGGTCAACAGTTCAAAACCAAATATAGTTTAAGAAACCTGCAAAATGTAATAAGTAAAATGAAGGGGAAAGATGCAGCAGCATAAATGGAGAGTGGTGCATCTCCAGTCAGAAGGATGGCCACAGAACTTGATAACCCAACCCAGGACCTTGCTGAGATGGAAGGGGACACCAGTAATAATTTCACAGGGACAACAGGTGTCAACTGGCACTGCCTCTGGCAAACTGGGAGGTGTGGTCATGCTACAATGTCAAGGCAGTGAGGTCAGAAAGACTGAAGTCATGCCCTCTGTACTCAATGATTAAAGGACTCAAATGATTAAAGACACACGTCCTCCCCCCACCCCCATCCTTTTGTCGTCTAACAGCAAAACAACACACTCATCACATAGCCCTATTTTGTGAATTTGGAGTTCATAAAATGATCAGTGTGCTAGATTTTACCTAGGGTTATAATATGGCATTCTAAGAATTATACTTTCAAAAGCATTAGTGAGTACATTAAGATGAATCAGTTCATAAATATTTATTTCATTAGCTACTGATGGGTGTGTTTTCTTACACAAATCTGTGACAGAATCTTGAACCTGAGAGTTTAAAAGATCAAATGAGAATTGCTGAGAAAATTAGAAAAATCCCTACTTTATTGCTTAACTAGAACAAACTTTAATGACCTATAAATAGTTTAACTTAAAACAGTCCATACCTTACAGGAGAAGCTCCGACTTGGGATGTTTCTTGCTAACTCTGATATCTTGTTTTTATTCTGCAGACACTTGGGTAGGTGGTATTTTCTCAATTTTATTCTACTGTAACAATGCTCAGCGAAGTGCCAGTGATTCAAAGGCTGTTTCTGCATGCATTTCCCAAGGTGAGGAACACTAGACTTCAGAGCCTGGAGGAATAATTGGGTCTTCTGCTGCATGGTGTCAGGTTTATGTCCTGTTTGGGGCTGCCAGCATCATGAATAATTGTATAGGCATGCATAGATACTGCAGTAGGTTTTCAGAGCATCTAAGACGGGCAGTTCTTATCCCTCCCCTTCAGCACCGGGCACCCCTTAGGTTCTGAGTACCTGGAGACAGTTGATGACTCAGGTTAAATAAGTTTGAAAATGTGTGTACATTAAGATTCATTCAAATCATATTCCTGGCCGATGTGACTAAAATGGCATGCCTACCAGGCTCAAAGCTACGCAGCACTCAATCTGGCACGCACAGGGCCAAACTAAAACAAAAAACAAACAAACAAATAAAGATCTGTAAAGAAGTACATTCGATGCAATGGGGCATCACTGTAGGAACTCTGAGGGTATTAAATGGCTCTGGTCTTACACATGGTGAACATGTCTGGTGTGTGTGTGGACAGGAAGACCGGTTAGAAAGCGCCTAGCTGTGGACGGTAGGGGAGGATCCTAAATATGTTGGGCACATGCTATGTGCCAGGATGCTTTCATATCCTTTAAATTTTCTAAGGACTTAATGAAATTGCAACTATTATGCTTATTTTACAGGTGAGAAGACTGGGTCTGAGAGGTTTAAGAAACTGATGCAGGGTCACTAAGTAAGGGGGATGGGAAAATGTCCAAACCAGTTTGTCTCTTAAATCATGGACGTAACAATTAGTCTTTAACCTTAAAAAAAGAGTAAAGCATGTAGCATGTGCATTACAACAACTACTCACAATGCTTCAGGATGCACAAAACCAAACCCTTGGTTTTAGCTGGTGAGTTGGTTATTTGCCCTGATATATAACCTGTTGTTTAGGTTTTGGTTTCTGCAAATCACTGTCTCTGACCCTCAGTTTCTTCATTGGCAACGCTGAAAAATGGCACCATTTACCTTAAGGGCTGAAAAAATGGCACCATTTACCCCTTAGGGGATTGCTGCCGTTAAGAATAAGACCTGACAATTTAGGTTAAGCTCGGAACTCACTGTCTGGCACGTAATAGCCAAGGTGGCTACTATTATTAGGATCGGATTAATCTGGGCACTTTGCACACTGTTGCATGTCATCATGGGAGTCCTTCCAGAAAATTCCCTCCTCCCCCCGCGGCGTTAGATTTGCAACAGATCCCTTCAGCTACGACGCGGTCGCCCCCCTCACCCCGCCCCCTTTATCTGCTATGTGTCGCAGCAAAATAACGGGCGGATGGGGATGGCGGACAAGCAGCCAAGATTCGTTTTACATGGCTCTGAATACCAGGGGCTGCAAGGGGCTAAAGCACCATCATTTAGGTCCGCCGCTTCGGTCCATTCATTTTCCACTCCGAGCCAGAAAACCCGCAGCAAGGTTCGGGATCCCGGTGGGGTTCAGCGAGTTCCGCAGCGCACCTACGTTCTGGACCCCGAGAATGAAGCGCCCTGAGAGCGAGAGGGGACGGAAGCAAGCGCCCTGCAGTGGAGGGACACAGGCCACTCGCCGGGGCCGAGGGCCAGAGGCGGCCGGGTGGGAGCAGGCAAGGGCCAGGGGAGAAACCCAAGCACCACCCCATACGTACGCAAGTCGGAACAGAGCCCGTCCTCGGTGGGCCCCGCAACCAGGGAAGGCAGGCCGAGGGCGCACAGCGGGTCCGACCGAGCGCAGATGTCACCCCCGCCGCGTCCAGCCGACGTCTGCGCCGGGCCAGCCGGGGAGCGACAACCGACGCAGAGCCGGGCTGCAGCACGTCGCTCCGTCACTCAACCTGGCGCGCGTCCGGGGCGTGGCTCGCCATCTTTACTGTGGTCAAGAGAGGGGGTGGTGGGCTTCCTTCCCCTCCTCCTAGGAGGTGCAGGGACCACGAACGGTAGTGAGAGTCCTTTGACTTAAAAGCCGAAGCAGCGGGGACGGGGACTGGGCGCAGCAGCGCCGCACCGGCTCTGCCGCCGCGCTCTCAGCCTCCCGTCCGCCCTCACTTAGGATGGCCGCCGGCAGACTGGTGCAGCGGTGAGGTCAGCGCGGCCGCGGTTGCCAAGGGAACGGCGAATACCGGAAATGCGGACTTCCGGGCGGGACGGCGCGCCGCGGCCGCGGGAGGGAGGCCCGGCGTCACAGGTCCTGACAGGGAAGAAGCCGCCAGGTCCTGGAAGAGGAGACCTGTGGCTGGGGCAGCCCCGGGCTCCGTGAGATGGAGCCGCGGGTCGGGGACAGCAGGGCCGGCGAAGCCGAGCAGCTCGCAGGCGGGCACAGTGCAGGCGGCCTCGCCGCTCGGGGACCCAGGGTCTCGGCGGCCCTGGCGGCCTCCCGCTGGAAGCTCTTGCGCCAGGTAAGGCTCGTCGCGTCCTCGCTCTGGCCACTCCCCTCGCAGGTGCCGGGCACCGAAGTGCGTGCCCTCCGGAGCCTTTGGAGTGTCCTCAGTTTGGCCTGGGGCCACCGCAGACTCGCCCCCTCGCTTTCCTTGCGCCCCTCTTCTTACCTTGCCTCTCTTTTCCCTCCCCCTTTCTTTCGGATAGGTGGACCCGAAGGAAGGGATCAGGTGGGGCTGAGGGCAGCCCTGGTTGAGCTGCTGGGAAACTCAGCGAGCTGTCTTTTTTTTTGGGGGGGGTTCCCCTTTTTGCACGTCCGTCGATCTGGCGAGACCACCGCTCCCAACTCCATACCGCGCTTCTCTCCAGCTTCTGTTAGGGTGACTCCCACCAACTTTCTTCGTACTTCCTAACTTGTCACCTAACTGTCGAAGCCGGTGACCAGTCTGCGCCCTCCGGTCCTCAGGCTCGTGGATTTCGACGTGTCTGAATGTGTTTGGACTTGTGGCCCTGCCGGCCGTGACCTCGGGGTTTATCCTATAACGGAGCTGGACGGGAGTAGGCAAAGTTGCCACCGTGACAGCTAACGGGTGTTGTTTTTCCTTTTGGTAGTTTGAAGGGTGAGATTCTCGGTATCCTGGGTGGACTAGGCATTCGCGAGGGTACCTGGTAATACTCGGAATGACGGTATCTTCTGATACTTCAAAGTTGGTGCTGCCGCAGCTGTGGTTGATCACGTGTGCGCAGCATTGCCAGGTATTTCTGATTTGTGATCGCTGACCTGCACATTTGAGGGATCCTTGCTTGAAGTCTGTCATGCCCTTGCCTTAGGCTTCCCGCTGGAAACTTGACTTGAGGGGATATTTTCCATTGCTATTATTCTTCCAGAAGGCCACTGAAAAGCAGACTATTACTAGAGGATGTACTGTTAGTATTTGGGGAGTTTTTTTGCAGTGTTCTTGAGTCTGCCCTATGGGAAATGGTAGAATTATCCATGTGAGTTTCCGAGACCGATACCATAACTCTTTAGGGAAGTAGAAAGCCTCGTCTTTTTCCTGCACAGTGGCTGATGGTTTCAAACTGCTGACTTTGAACTTAGCAGCCCAACCTGTCACTACGGTGCCACCGGGCACCCTGTGTAGTTCGGGGTGGGGGACATCGAGCCAAGGGCTATATAAGGCCCTGGAAATCATCAATACCAGGCAGCAACACAGGCCGCAACTCAAAGAAGCCGTTCTAGCCGTCACATAAGGGGTGTGTTAATTAAAGATGTTATAAATATCCAAATGGTCCTTGGCAGAAAAAAAAAAAAGGTTCCCCACCCCTGCATCGATGGCTGAGTGCTTCTGAGGTTTGTTTAAACATTCCAGTTAGGATTTTATTGATTCTTGGTCTTTATAGGTGCTATTGAGTAGGTTCTGTCCCATAGTGAGCTTCTGTACAACACAATGAAACACCTGCACCATCCTCACAACTGTTCTTATGTTTGAACCCATTGCTGTAACCACTACGGCATTCCATCTTGTCTAGGGCTTTCCTCTTTTTCTCCCCCTCTCTACTTTTCCAAAAACTGTTTTTCTGACAATACGTCTGATGTACTTGAGCCCAAGTCTCGTCATCCTGGCTTAATAAGGGACATTCTGGTTGTACTTCTTCCAAGACATATTTCTTTGTTCTTTTGACAATCCGTGGTATTTTTAATATTCTTTGTCAGCACCATAATTCAAATGCATTGATTCTTCTTCAATATTCCTTATTCGGTGTCCAACTTACACACTCATATGAGGCAATTGAAAATACCATGGCTTGGGTCAGGTGCAACTTAGTCCTCAAAGTAACACCCTTGGTTGTCAACACTTTAAAGAGGTCTTCTGAGGCAGATTGACTCAATGTTATATGTCGTTTGATCTCTTGACTGCTGCTTCCATGAGCATTGATTGTTGAATCAAGCAAGACAAAAATCCTTGGGAACTTCAATCTTTTCTCCATTTATCATGATGTTGCCTATTGGTCCAGTTGTTAGGATTTTGGTTTTCTTTACGTTGTGCGATCTTTGATCATGATCAGCAAGTGCTTCAAATTTTCCTCACATTCAGCAAGCAAAATCATGTCATCTGCATATCGCAGATTATTAATAAGCCTTCTTCCGATTCTGACATTGCATTATTCTTCCTATAATCTAGCTTCTCTGATAATTTGCTTAGCATACAGATTAAATAAATATGGTGTGAGAGTACAGCACTGATACATACCTTTCTTGATTTTAAAACATTCAATATTCCCTTGTTCCAATCACCCAACTGCCTCTTGATCCGTGCACAGGTTCTCCATGAACACAATGAAATGTTCTGGAATTCCCAGTCTTCTCTAGGCTATCCATATTTTTTTATGGTCCATGCTTTCCTTAGTCAATAAAACAGAAGTAAATAGCTTTCTAGTAATCTCTGCTTTCCGTCAAGATCCATCTAACAACAGCAATCATATCCCTTGCTCCACATCCTCTTTGGAATCCAGCCTGAACCTTTTGTGGCTCCCTGACAATGTACTACTGAAACCATTGTTGGATGATCTTCAGCAAAATTTTACTTGCATGTGATGACAATGATATTGATCTGTAATTTGAATATTCTCTTCGATATCAATGATATTGATCTGTAATTTGAATATTTTCTTCCTTCATCTTTCTTTGGAATGAGTGCAAATAGGGATCTCTTTCAAACAGTTAGTCAAGTAGCTTTCTTCCAGAATTCTTAGCATAGACAAATGAATGCTCCCACTGCTTGATCAACTTGTTGAAAGATTTAAATTTTTCTGTCAATTCCTGGAGACTTGCTTTTGGCTATTGCCTTCAGTGCAACTTGGGTTTCTTCCTTCCATTGCGTCGGTTCTTGTTCATACGCTGGCTCTTGAAATGGATGAATATCATCTAGGGTTTTTCTTTCTTTCTTTCTTTCTTTCTTTCCTTCCTTCCTTACTTTCTTTTCTTCCTTCCTTCCTTCCTTTCCTTTCTCTCTCTCTCTTTCTCTCTCTCTCTCTCCTTTCTTTCTTTCTTTGTTTCACGGTGACTCATTTATTCCAATCTGCTTTTGATGCTTCCTGCATCACAGAAATTTTTGCCCATAGAGTCTTTCAGTATTACAACACAAGGCTTAATTGTTTCTTTGTTTTTTCAGTTGAAGATGTGCTGAGCATGTTCTCCCTCTTTGGTGTTCTAGCTCTGGGTCTTTAAGTATTTCATTATGTTTGACTTTGTCTTCTTGAGCTGCCCTTTGATAATTTCTGTTCAGCCCTTTGGCTTCATTTCTTCCATTTGTGTTGGCTATGACTAAGAGTCAGCGTTAGTCTCTTCTGACATCTACTCTGATCTTTTCTATCTTTTAAATTACCCTTTATTTTTTTTACAGTTTTATTGGCACTTAATCCACATTTCACACAATTCAAAAGTTCATTCACAGCAAGAAGAATTCTCCAGTCATTATCACAGTCAGTTTGAGAACACCCGCCCCCCCCCCATGGTTAAATAACTTTTAGAATAGTTGTGTCATCACCATCAGTTCTACAGAGTACTCTCTCTCCCCTACCACATACACAGTTTGCTTCTACAACCCCCTCACCACCCCCCATCTCCCACCCGCCTGCTTTCTTCATAAATGATGTTCTTGATGTCATCGCACAGCGCATCAGATCTTCTGTCATTAGTGTTCAGTGCAGCAAATCTGTTCTGGAGATGTTATCCAAATTCAGTGGTATATACTCAAGGTCATATTTTGGCTCTTATGGACTTGTTTTAATTTTCTTTACCTTCAATCTGAACTTAATTATGAGCAATTGATGGTCTGTCCTACAGTTGGCTCCAGGTATACTTTTAAAAATAATTTTATGAGGGGGCTCATACATCTCTTATCACAATCCATCCATCCATCCATTGTGTCAAGCACATTTGTAGACTCCAGGTATACTTTTAGCTGCTCTTGGCTTCTCCATCATCTCTTCCCACACATGTAATACATTTTATTTCTGTATATTTCATCTGGAGAAGTTCATATGTATAGTCGCTGTTCGTGGTGTTAAAAAAGGAATTTGTGATGAAGAGGTTGTTGGTTTTGTAGAATCCTATTATGTAATCTCCAGCTTTTTAAAAAAAATCATTTTATTGGGGGCTCGTACAACTCTTATCATAATCCATGCATACATCCATTGTGTCAAGAACATTTGTACATTTTTGCCATCATCATTCTCAAAACATTTGCTTTCTGCTTGAGCCCTTGGTATCAGCTC